GAAAAGGATGAAAGAAGAAGAATGTGGGAGCAATACATAAGAAAACTATTCCAAGACAGTGAGAGAACGGACCTCGAAATTAACGCCGCGGGTGAATCGTTGAGTGGACCACCGATAACAAAAGAGGAAATTCGTAAAGCGATACAACTTTCAAAAAATAACAAGGCAGTCGGACCAGATGACGTGCCAGCCGAGATCATTAAGCTAATAGACGATGATAACCTGTCTTTATTGGAAGTTGTTTTCAATAAGATATACAGCACTGGCAGGTACCCCACAGACTGGTTAAGGTCTACCTTCGTTCCATTACCTAAAAAAAGAAATGCAAAAAGCTGCAAAGAACATCGATTAATAAGTCTGATGAGCCATACACTAAAAATATTTCTTAAAGTCTTACACCACAGGTTATATAGAAAATGTGGACAGTATTAAAGACACACAATTTGGGTTTAGGAGTGGAATGGGGACGCGGGAGGCTCTTTTCAGTAATCGCGTACTGGTTCAGAATTGTTGCGATGTAAAAAGGGACGTCTTTCTTTGTTTTGTTGATTACGAAAAGGACTTTGATAGAGTGCAGCACACAAAACTAATCGAGATATTACAAAAAATGGATGTAGATGGTAAAGATGTTCGCTGCATTCAAAATCTATATTGGCATCAAACTGCACATATAACAACAAACGAACTGAAAACACAAGATATAGAAATACGTAGAGGAGTGAGACAAGGATGCATCATGTCCCCACTTTTGTTTAACGTGTACTCAGAAGTCATTTTTGGCGAAGCATTCGGAGATAAGGACATCGGAATCAAAGTAAATGGAGTATATGTGAATAACATTAGGTACGCGGATGATTCTGTCTTGATAGCGGATAATATCCAAGACATACAACAACTGATTACTCTACTAAACGACGCCAGTAAAAACTATAGACTAAACATAAATAGTAATAAAACAAAGTTTATGATAATCAGTAGGGACAGGGTGATGGAATGGCTTTGGAACGAGTCAAGAAATATAGATACTTGGGTAGTTGGCTGTATGACGATTGGGACAACGGCAAAGAAATCAAAGCCAGAATAGAAATAGCCCGGAGCTATTTTCTCAAATTTAAACATATACTTACCAACAGAGACACAAGCCTGAACCTAAGAGGACGATACGTCGAGTGCTATATATGGTCCGTTCTATTATATGGTATGGAAACATGGACGCTCAAAACAACATCAATTAATAGATTAGAAGCGTTTGAGATGTGGACTTACCGCCGTATGCTGAGAGTATCATGGGTCGAAAGGGTTACAAACGAGGAAATTTTGAGAAAAATGGGCAGAGACAGAGAAATTCTATTACACATAAAAAAACGAAAGACGGCCTATTTCGGACACATAATGAGGAACCCAAAGTATCGGCTTCTCCAGCTAATCGTCGAGGGTAAGATAGAGGGCAAGCGTGGCGTAGGAAGGAAACAAATGTCATGGCTTAGAAACCTAAGGGAATGGACTGGCTTGAAAAATATCGGGGACCTTGTACATACAGCAATGGACAGGGTAGCATACGGAAATGTGATCGCCAACATCCAATAGTAGTGGATAGGCAGCTGAAGAAGAAGATACTCGATATAAGGACAACAATATCTTACAATAATAGATAACTTTTCTAAATTTGCAACAGTTTACCCAGTTAATGAAACTTCCCTAGAAATATGTCAAAACTTGACTAAATTCTTTTCACATCATGGAACACCAACCAAAATTACTACAGATAACGCACAAAGTTTTAAAAGTAATCTAGTACAAGACTTGTGTAAAACGTATCGAATCGAGATACATTTCACTACCCCGTATAATCCAAATTCAAACTAACCAGTCGAAAGCTTCCATTCTACTCTTAAGAAAAGTCTAGTCGCTCTAAAAATGAACATCGTACCAAAACGATGCAAGAGCTAATGCATATCGCAATATTAAATTATAATAATAGTATACATTCTTCCCATGAGTATACTCCTTTTCAAATTCTAAAAGGAAACCTGAATTATCAACTAAATTTCGAGAAAAACCTAAATCAATTGCAAACAGACTATGTGTACGAACTTGCGGAAATCTTTAAGGAACTTAATGAAAAATAAATTTAAAACTTAACGCAAAAAAGGCAAATGTTTTAGCAAAACTAAATGAAAAACGTGAAAATGACCCCGAAATATACCTCGAAAGTTGACACAAAAATTACAACCTGAATATAAACTAATCCAATTTAAAAATCAAAGACACCGTAAAGATATTAAAAGACATTTATGATTTTTAGGTAAGAATGAAGATTGCCATTCTCCTGCTGCCGCTAATCGTAAGTGCCATTACCATGTTAAATTGACTAACTTACAGGATTGTTTAAAATTAACGAAATCAACGCTTTTACGCTACCTAAAATAATTTAAATGCGCCCTTAAGTTACTTATTAGTAACTCGGACCCTAGATCTTATTGACCAAGCGGAATATATTAAAGCCTTTATTAATCATTATACCACTCCAGTGAAAAGAATTAAAAGAGGACTCTAATTTCTTTGGAGAAGCACAAAAATATTTATTTGGAAGTCTAGACTCAGATGATGGTCATAGATACGATCAATATATTAAAATTCTTCAAGAAAATCAAGAAACTGTACACCAATAATCCACACAGACGATCGTTAAATGGCTAACAAAGGACAAAGACGCTCAGCTGAATAATATAAAAAATAATCAGCAAAATATACTTACCAAAATTAACTACCTAGCAAAAATGACGCAAACTATAACAATAACCTCTAATATCATTATCTTGCTCGACAACCTGGAAAACAATCTTCGCGTTATTAATGAAATACGAATGAATGTGCAGACCGCTATCAACTGCGCTGAAATAAACGTAATGCATCACAGCATTTTTAAATACAAAGAACTTAGCTCTAAACTTGACCCGAAAAACACGAATTCCCTTTGATAATATAATTAAATAATGGGTGTTTTTTTTTCGATGTATAGAACTTTAAGTTTGCATTACTGTTCAAGATGGCGACCGATTTAACAGCTGTCAAGTGATTTATTCTCAGTTTGATTTGGCAATTCATGATGAATAGACTCACGCCTGAACAACGCTTGCAAATAGTGCCCAAATGGGCCCGAAACGAGATTGCCGTTGTTCCCGATTTTCATAAGCGAATTTTGTTTAGGAATGAAGCGCACTTCTTTTTGAATGGCTACGTCAAAAAACAAACTTGCCGCATGGAGCGAAGATAATCCTCAAGTGTATGTCGAAACACCATTACATCCAGAAAAACTCATTGTTTGGTGCGCTTTATGGGCTGGTGGAATCATTGGTCCGTACTTCTTCAAAAACGATGATGACCGGAACGTTACAGTCAATGGTGATCGGTATAGAGCTATGATTACTAACTCTTTCATTCCAGAATTGAATAACCATGATGTCCAGGAGATGTGGTTTCAACAAGACTGCGCAACATGTCACACAGCTCGTGCCACAATAGATTTATTGAAAGACACGTTTGGTGACCGCCTAATTTCACGTTTTGAACCTGTGAATTGGCCTCCAAGATCTTGTGGTTTAACACCGCTAGACTACTTTCTGTGGGGCTATGTAAAGTCATTGGTCTATGCGGATAAGCCACAAATGCTTGACTATTTGGAAGACAACATTCGCCGTGTTATTGCCGATATACGGCCACAAATGTTGGAAAAAGTCATCGAAAATTGGACGTCCAGATTGGACTACATCCGCGCCAGTCGTGGCGGTCATATGCCAGAAATCATATTTAAAATGTAATGCCACAAGATTATCTTTTGGATAAATAAAATTCATGTCAATCGAATTCATGTCATCGTTGTTTTATTGCAACTTAAAAGTTCTATACATCGCAAAAAAACACCCCTTACTACGAAGTGGCACACGCTGACGTTACGATCAAATTTTAATGCAAATTCAAATTATAATATTTTACGTGGCTATACCTCTTATTTTTAACAAGCCTTATGATCTATATCATATATACCCCATACTAATTAATAAAAAAATATCCGTTATAAACGATCCATATCTTTTGAATGAAATCAACAGACGATTTCTTAAACCTAAAGGAAAACTGCTACGAAATCGAGAACATATCCTTATGCCCCAATAACCTGCTTAATAAAAACGAACCCTGTATTCCGCAAACAATTAATTTATCTAATCATTGTCCAATGATTCCAATCGAATATAAAGAAACCTCGCTACCCAATTAAATGATAACTCTATTGTAGTTATCCCGAATTCCCAAGAAAATATATATTTTTATTGCTCAAATCAACAAAGTGTTGAAATAATAAATAAAGCAACTTTAATTCTGGTCGGAGAGTGTAATGTTAAAATTAAAAATAATATCTATGACTCTCAAAAAGGAGACGTAATTAACTTAAGACTAAAACATCCGTCAATAGTTATTAATGAAGAATGGATTCAAAACAACGAACCACTACAGTTAAGAGAAATTAATGTTGAAAATATAAAAGAAGATATGGAAAGTGCTCGAACCCTAGTAAATCACCCTCTAAAACACTTAACTTTGGTAAAGTTTACTGTTTCGATTACTATAATAATTATTATTATAATCATACTAATAATAATCATTGTACTCTCTAAAGGTGGGCATAGAACTAAAACCTTTCGAAAATCAACCCCGAGTTTCTCAAACTTGAGGAGGGAGGAGTTATATATGATGAATATGTTAAATAGAAGATCGTAATATGAGATATATGCTTACGCACGCTAATCGTAGGATAAGTCAGTCTTAAAGTCGCTTTGCAGTAGTAATTATTGTGTTACTTGTGTTTTAAATAAAAAATCGTCAATAAATGCCAAGTACTCTTACGCTCTTACTATACCACCACAAATCAAGCTATATAAAGCTATATAAATACACAAAACTTTATGATGTATGTAGTAGCATTTTGACGCTTCACTTACCCCACGCTGGCGACAAAATCCAGGGCGTCCTTCTCGTTTTTCGTCATGGCTGCGGTTGCGTGTAACAGCCGATCAGCAATGGAACATCTCGAACGATGCGAAGGCCGTTACGCGTATACCTGATTTCAATGGGATACACTTATAGATATATAGGTACGATCGATTCTTATCTACGTTTAAAAACGAGACGCGACGTAAAAAAAATTATTACGCCCAATATATACGAGCCGCCGAGCTCCAATTTGGCAAAAATTGCCGCCTCGAAACAAACACGGAGAGTCGTATATGTCGAAAACGTAGAAGACCGTGGATTACGCGCTGAAAAAAATCTGAAAATAATAACACATTAATAATTGGAACTTCTGAATTTTCTTTGAATCCATTTTTTTTTCAATAGACTAATCCTCGCTTGTATATAAATATAATAAATAAAAAATAAATAAATATATATATTTATATATATATATATATATATATATATATATATATATATATATATATATATATATATATATATATATATATATATATATATATATATATATATATATATATATATATATATATATATATATATATATATATATATATATATATTTGCTATTATATATCGAATTTTTTTTATTTTTATTTATAGTAAATAATTTTTTATTTAAACCAAATAAAGATATAATAGGATTTGCTAAGTTCATTAAATGAAGCAATCTCTTTTTTACTAAAAGCGAGTTTAAATACAGGCTAAGTACCAATAAAATAGAATAAAGTTGGGTATATTGTTTTGTATAATAACTCTCTAAATATTTGTTCAAACTTAATGAAAATTCGATCTGAGATCTTTAACCATATTTTTATCAAAATACACAATGAAAATTGTAAGCAAATACAATGAGTTCAGAATAATCAGCTTTTATATAAAAGCTTGCAAATGGTACAATTTACCCACCTCGTTCGATCAAATCTACCACGTGGGTTGATATATTGCACCTACCATAAAAAATGGATTTCATTTTTGTGTGAAATCAAATCACTAAAACTGTTAAAATATAATTATTGTTCACATTTCCACAGTTAAAATAATTAAAATCAAATGTAGGACTGCCGATTTGAAGGAATCATGCACCGAATAAAGGCAAGAAGGCTAAGAATATTGGCCTCTTTACTGCAGATTTTGCTTTATTTTCTCTAAAACTTCGTTGTATGGTTTGGTCGTGAGCACTGTTGCCAGTTCGGCATTTTTAGGTTCCCGTCGTTTATTTCTCAATCCACTAGGCCCTGGCAAGCAAATGATTTCGTCAAAGGAAGTATTTTGGTTGTTCTTTTGATGTTAATCTAGCCGGGGGAGGAATCATCTTGACCCTGATCAATTTGGACGTTATTATTTCCAGCAAAGTTAACATCAGCAGAAACGTCTCAGGCCATATGCCACGTTTAGAAAATCCATTCATTGCAGAACTAATCGTTGCAGCTTTCATCCATCCATCTTGCAACTGCTTGATTGTAATACACCTCTATTGGCTTCAAAATTGCGACGTCTGAAAGCGATGGTAGTATGTCCCGGCAATTTCCAGGACTAAAATTATTTTATGTTGCTTCAAGAAATTTGCGCAGCCAAACCACGAATAACAGTGTCTGAGTGTATCTTGTGTCTGAAACATTCGGCCATCATTCTTTTCCCTTTGAAAATTATTATACGAAATTGAAAATTATCATACGTAAAAACGTTTTTTTTCTTTTTTAGAAGTAATCTTCTGGTTTTTCTTCTGAACTGTGGAAAATCCACACTCATCTACATTAAAAATCCTTGTCGCCTCTACTTCGTATTGATCGCAAGTGGTGGTATAAATTACCAAACCTGATGATCAACTAAATTATCTTGTTTCCTTAATAAAAAGTGAGGTTTGGAGAAATTTAACTCACCTGATATCTAGCGAAATTTCCTGCAATTAAGGAAAATATTGTTTAACTAGCAAGCTCGCAGTAGGACATGGGGGCTTAGTTCACACTATAATTTTTTTTTACGTAACCACGTTTTACGGAAATACCGGAATTTAACTGTGTTGTCACCTAATGCCTAGAGACGTCAATTAAGCACAATAGATGGCGTTATAAGTTTAGAGTTTCATAAATATCGCGGTGGTACAATTTTGCAAAGGGTACAATATACCGGACTTTAACCGGACTTATAAAATTTAAAACTTTTAGTAGATAGTCATTTAAATAAAATATGAATTATGTTGTGTTTTAGGTAGATCAATATTATGAGGTCTAGAGAACGGGAATTGATTCAATTTCGCACCTTAAATATGCAAATCAGCTCCAAGTTTTTGGGTTAAATATGACGCCTTCCACGAAGTCTTGCCGTATCTACCCACTTGTTAAAATTATTAGTATTTCATTCAACTAAATATTTAGAAACAATAAAAAAATTAATTGTCAAACCAGATTTTTCAGATTAAACTTGTTAGGGATAAAAATAATAACAAGTTATTTAAACTAAATAAACATTCACTTTGCTGAACTCGTATAATATTGTAATAAATACTTAATATTCGTATAAGTATTTCTTTAAAAAATATGTACTTAATAAAACAACCTTATAGTTCCTAAAAGATGAATTATCTATTATTAATTTGCTCTTAAAACATGGTGATAATACACAGGATGTTCCATTTAAAAAAATACAGTTTTCAGTTTTTGTATTTTGTGGGCAAATAATTAGGTTCGACCAACCCTGTATAATATAGAACTAATTTCGATATTAAGAAATTTCGTGCTATACCTCCCTAATCTAATTCTACTGGTTCCAGTGTCGTAGTAATAAAAATTCAATTGACGCTATGATTTGGTCAAAAAATAAAAAAAAGAATAATTTATCGAAAACAACTATAAAGAACGTATTATTCAAAAACAATCGTATCAGTATAAGATACACCGTGTTGATGTTACTTTTTTGAAGAAGCGGCAAAGTCGCAGCGTTTAAAATATTTGATTTTAATATTAATATTGATTTTAATTTTTTATTTTAATATTAATATTTTGAAAAATTTTGTCAATATTTCAGCTTATTAATAAAGAATTATTTATTAAACACTTTCCCTAAATTTCAATTTTTAAAATTTAAATTTGAATATCAAATGAACATATTATATAAGATATTACAACTTAATCTAATGTACTTTGTTATAAATTCTATTCATATATTTCAACATCAGATTGCTATCATTACGGATTTGAAAATTACAAAATCCCGAAACCAAAACCACCAACCAACTCGTTTATCTATATTAAATAATGAATTCCTCAGTCAAAATTTAAAACAAAATCGAAAGGAAACTTTATGTTATTTATATTAAATTATCCAGTAATTATCAATCAACCATTTGGTTAGTTAATATTAATTGTATTTATTTATTAAACACTTTCCCTAAATTTCAATTTTTAAAATTTAAATTTGAATGCCAAATGAGCACATTATATAAGATATTACAACTTAATCTAATGTACTTGGTTATAAATGCTATTCATATATTTTAACATGATTACGGATTTGGAAATTACAAAATACCGAAACCAATACCACCAACCAACTCGTTTATCTATGTTAAATAATGAAATCCTCAGTCAAAATTGTTAAAAAATTCGAAAGGAAACTTAATGTTATTTATATTAAGTTATACAGTAATTATCAATCAACTATTTAGTTAGTTTTGGTTAGTTTAATATTAGTCTTTATTGTAAAGAATAAAACAAATTATTTATTCCTATCAAATAAACAACTGATAAATGAAAATAATTCCATTTTTCCAAAATTTAAAATAAATATTTGTGGGTCGGCATCAAACCAATATATGTTTCAAATAACTCCAAACTTTTTAAGACTAAGTAAATTTTTTTCAGTGCGCCCCTTTTTTGTGGTGCACTATCTCAGCCGAATTATTGAACACATTAGAGATATTAAACGTTCTATCACAAAATACACTTTATCACAACCCTCCAAAAACCATGAGTCCGAAAGCAAACCCAAACACTTGCCACTGTTGCCCTTGTTTACCTTCAAAATACCACCCCATATCAAAAGTTCTTATAAAATATAACGTCAAAATAAGATTCATCACTTCTATAAAACTCTCTCAACATCTTTGATCCATCAAGGAGAAAATTCCGTTTGAGACACCACGAGACTACAGCATTCCATGCAGATGCGGCAAAGAATAGATACACTGGACGAAAAATATCAACTAGCCTCAAAGAACATGAATTCTAAGACAAATAAACTAATCAGCAGTTACCGAACACAAATAGGAAACCGGACACAAATTTTACTCGATAAAATTCAAATTCTTGCATCTAATCAATTCTTCTACCAACGAAAAGTCCTAGAGTCTATAGAAATCTATAATCTATATCTGTCACCAATATGGGAATCAGTCAACCGAGATAATATTCATGCCCGTCCTTTAGCTCCTCCCCCCTCAAACTACATATAAGCGGGTACGTCCAATTTGAGCCAATGTCTGCCAGCAGGATGATTGGCGAAATGCAGGAGGAATCCGGAGGTTTGGTAAATAGCATAAAAGATACACAACGTAGTAATAATATCAATTGTATTAAAAAAAATATATATAAACTAAGACAAACAGCGAACTTTTATTTCAATAACAACCCGCAGAGTGGATATGCTTATCAAAATTCAACTCCTTTTGAGATTTAAATTCTTTTATTCATATTTTAGGTTAAGGTCAAGATTATCCCCTCTCGTGGCCATTTCAAACCCTCAAAATCAATTTCAATTAAATTGGTCGATTTAACAATTATTAAAATAATTTTAAAAAATTAATTAACGATACATAAAGTAATTATTCTTAAGGGCATTCAAGGCTCTGACACCAACCCCTAAAAGCGTTAGCTGTTAATGAGATTGATTTATAACACGTTTTTAAAGGCTTCGTATCAAATTCGTTTAAACATGGTTATAAATCAATATTTATAAAACTATTTATGCTTGAGCTAAATCTATTTTTAAAAGATTTTATTGCGGGTGCAGGATACCATAATAAAAATAAAATTTCTTGTAATAGATTTATAACAAGATTTTATAGTAGTACTGGAACGAAATTCATCTCAAGATACTGTAAATCAAATAGTTGCGACATCTTAATCCACTGCTAAGTTAGAATCTTTCATCGTAGATTGAGAACATCGAAATGTAAATTCTAGGTCTAGTCTGAAAATCAACTAGAGCTTGGAACTTATGATAAAGGAAGTGTCAATGTAGAACCTGTCGATTTAGATAACGAAGAAGATACTACAGAGCTGTCCGAACCCAGTAAAAATATTAAGGTGAATCAACATATCCGACTATGGTCTACTTTCTGTAATATTAGTTATATTACATTAAGGGAGCTTTTTGAGTGACAGAATTCCTAATTCAATTAAAATGAGTACTGGATACTTCATTCAATATAACTTAACATAAATATGTATGCCTTCCTATTTATAAAAGTTCCAAAAACAACGAATTTTGGTCAATACTATGCAAGGTTCATGAAATCAGGCAAATAAAACTAGTAGTAATAGAGCCTTTATCGATGAAAAGAAAAGTCTGCTAGAAAATGGATACGTCAACTCAATTAAAGAAACTGTAAAAATACGTTTTATAGGCGACTCCTTAGTAAGGGCTTTTATTAAAGCTGAATTACATTTTCAAGGAGCACAAATTCTTACAAATCTATATAGCTATAGGTACTCTATGTAGTGCGTCCTCGACAAAGGATTGATTATAGCAGTAGAAACCTACACAATACTAACTTAAATTAAAACTCTTTCGTCGGCCCCTAATTTCGGTTTAATTGTGGTGCAAAATTACGATTATAAGCTCTACACGAATTGATGGATCCCATAGCCTAAATTTTTCAAAACAAATGACTATAAAAACAAAAAGGCAATAATTTCCATACAAAATTTGGTATCTAGAACATTAAAAAATATTTGACATTTTGGCAACGTTGCAGCTGCCAAAATGGCCATGTAAATAGAGAAGCAACTTATACATCAGAATTGTGTTATAAAACTAATTTCAAACACATTTTAAGGGATAAAAATGATTTAATCCAAATGTTCAAATCGAAATGAACTTCATATTTGAGGCAACCATCTTGTCATAAAATACGAAAAATCACATTATCAATAAAGTCTATTAAAAGTTTCGATTGTAACATCGAATTTGGCACTCAGAGTATAACAGAATGCGCCACAATGTTTTATTAATTTTATTAGAAACATTATATTTTTAGAAATAATAAACATTTTTTTTTATTTTGTATAATGTCAGTAAGAGTATTTTACAATGGGAGCCGTAATATTGTATATAAAATTATTATATAATAAAAATGATAACAATAATAAATGTAGTTTATTTGGAGAAAATTAATTACAAAAAACATATTTGTATAGGTCATATGTATAATCTAAAAAAAAAAACAAAAGTTAACCGCAAACTTATATATCTAGAAATAAAAGTTAAGTTTTATGACACTAAGATTAGATTTTGAATGAACAACAGTGATAGAAAAAATATATATAAAAGTACAGAAACAATTATAACATAAATCCACCGCACTACCCATCAGGAGGTACTGTTGGTATATTTTTTTAAGAATTATAGTTTGTAAAGGTAATAAGAAAACGATCTTTCATAAAGTGAGGAGAAGCAAAAAATTCGTGCTTTTATATGAAAAATCGGCTCATCGGTCCAAATTATATGACCCAAGACGTTATCAGCGAAATACGCGTACATTAAAATATTGCAGTAGTGTAATCTCCCGTTCCTCTAGACATTGCAAGGGAAACACTTTAATTTCTTTGGCTTATTTGATTTTAAACAATTTCTTCAACGCGGTTTGACGACTGGAGGATTCTGGTATATTCTCAAAATGTAGTAATATGCTGCTTCTCTTCTGAACTTGTCGTGGCCTTTTCTTGGACGTTGGCAGAAGGATACCATCTTGCTTAAATTTTTCAAAGTAGCTTTTTCTCTGAAATCCACCTTACAGGAAACTTTCTGTGATACTCTCTAAGAGTCAGTTTTTTCTTGCACAGTATATATTTTTAACTTAAGTAATATTAATATTGCTTTATTAAAATCACATCTGTCAAACTCTGACCCTTAAAATAATTATACCACAGCTTACTAGGGTAAAAAGTAAGTTTCATAATAATATTATTATGCCTTTTAAAAAAGTAGGAGTTTGTACTAATGAAAACTTTATTTAAATATGCGAAATCTTAATAAGTTGTCCCGTCATTCGTTGAAAGAATCATTAAAACTAAAAATATAATAAAGATATGCCATTATAAAATTCTTTAAAATAATTAGTATTTTCCTTTCAGTTTATTTCTAAAAATTTCGAAAACAATTAGATTTAGGAATAGGACATATATTGACCCGCTTTGAGAAAAAATATCAACAATATGTGCGTCTCATTTAATAAAAAATGATCGCGGATCATTAGAAGGAAGTCTTCTAAAAACATGTTTAAAATTTGATCAAGTAGTCATTACTGCCAGCCGTGGAAGACCATATTTGCTAAGAATACAATCTTACATAAAAAAATATCTCAACTTCTGTCTAAACTACACAAAATTCGAATAAGTAGTTTCTATAAAAGTTACCTTTATTTTTGGAAACGATTCTAAAAATGTCAAATATGTAGGGTGTTCCATTTAAAATTTTAAAACTAATTTCGCTTCAGCACTTATAGATAAAAAATAAATAATTTTAAAATTCAATTTAACCCATAAAACTTTTGTATAAACTTTTTTTTCTACAGTCAGTAGTTGCTGAGAAAAGGTACTGCCTGGACTCAAATTACAAGCGTAAACGGCAAAAAGAAGCGGCCCCAAAATGGAGCCGGGGTATCCCACAAGCTGATGATTTCGCTAGACGATATATCTTTACTAGTTTGGAAAATCGAAGCCTATTTCCCAAATAGCGAGATTCGATTTCAAATAAATGTTTTTTTACGGTTTCTTCAGCAACTAAACAAGGATGTAAGTTGCTCTTTGAATTTTGTTTGTAAAATAAGGTCAAGTTTTTATCAACGGGTATATTTATATATACCTATCCAATTCAAGCGAAAGCCTGGGAACGCCATCAACCAAATAATTTAGGAGAGTATTTAACAAATCATTTTTCAGTGAAGATGTAATTTCTAAGTTGTTAAAGTCGCATACAATACAGATTGTTTTTAAATGAAACGTTTTCAATGCTGCTACAAAATTATTCCATAAGTATTGCGCAATGCTGTTTTGTCGCTAATAACCTTTAGAAACGATACTTTTATATTGTCAAAGAACACAGAAATGTTATTTAGGATCATCCGGCAACTCACTTACAGCTCTATTAAAAAATTGTTATGTTTCGTTTTTAGAAAACGGTAAATATTTTTATAAATATTATTATATAATTATCGTGGGCCATTATTCCATAACATTTTCCATGTTTATAAGGGCCGTATTAAAGGTTACTTGGGATTTGTTCGAAAAACACGTTATATGTATGGTATGTATCGTGATTTGGCTGAATTTCATATCTCATAAAAAAATTTAATGCATACACACTAACAAAAAACTGAGAAGGAGCCAAACCGAGCAGCAACCAAAGCTAAGGTTAGATGATCCTTTAGAAAAAGCGACAAAACATGATAAATAGACTCCTAAATTTGACAGTATTTTATTGCCATTGGTCCTCAACGGAATCCAAGACTTTCAGCAAAATTAAACTGCCCTTTTAAACATAATGCTGGTGTTTTAACTATAAATTTATACATATATTTGCTAAAAGAACTAACCAAAACGTCCCTATTGGCGATACTCAATACGCTCGGAAGATCGTTGTCGGCCTAAGAAGAGCACTTTTCAACGACTCCAAGTTTAAAATTTATTTCCAAAAAGGTTTGAACAACCCCCCACCAGTTTCCCTAGTAGACCAAAAACTTATTTACAAAAAAGAATCGAATCCATCAAATTTCTCAAAATAACGGATTTAAAATTTAAGAATGCGATTACGCCCCCTAATGGTCATTCTAGCAATTTAAAAATAATTTCTATATTTAGGAAACCTACGAGCGTATTTGAAGTCTTTTTTGAAACAATACACCGGAGAACATATTTTCATATCAGAAATGATCGTTATGATCAAGAATCATCATCAATTATTTCGATATAAAGTAATTGAACAACGCGGTTCGTAAATCACACTCGTGAAATGTGGAGTGGCGCTTATCAAACTTGTTGGATAATGTGCTGTTACTTGTTACAAAATGACAGTATTCTTCAATGGGCAAACATTACCATAGTAATGATTTAGTTTTTATTGAAAATATGCATCGTCAAATAATAAAACAAGAAAATTTTAATAATAATAATAATATAAATAATAATTGATAAGTGGAGTAGTGTACTTACCCAAAAAAAAAAACTTTATAAAATAGTTATTAATCAAATTATTAAAATGCCTCTGGCAAACGATTTACCATCAAAATTGGGGAATAATACAGGGTTTTTTACCCAATACGCTCGTTAAAAGTTTATATTGTTTAGATTGCCTTTCCATTTTGCCAAGGGTACTTCTTTTCCTTCCTATTTAACTTGCTGTCAAATTGTATATATATATTGTATATGTTCAATGACCTATACCTATGTCTAACCGTTATTGAAATATCTGACCTTAAAAAACAATTCCACCACCGGTTTAACCAAATATAAACAAGCATATTTTCGTAATTTTTGAAAATTTGATCGTGACAAAATGTTAATAAAGAGGCTAAAGTTCCCATTCTTGCGATTATTGTTGTTCAAAATTAGGACCCAAACTTTCACATGTTCAAAGAGGCTAAACTCGGATTTTCAAATCGAACACCCCCTAAGTGTTATCCAGTCTAGGGCTCATTTCTCTTTCACCTATACCATAACCTACTCCGAACCATATTCGAAATAATTAGGTTTTTTGACAGTACCATTTTGTCTTCACCTACTTGGCTATGGAAAAACTATTAAAACAATTTAAATCTGATAAATTCTTATCAAGTAAGGTTTTTCAAAGAATTAAGAATAAAAAGAATTAATAAATGAACATCTCTGTTTACGTTGTCTACATATGAGCTAATAAATATTTACTATTGTATCTATAGTTTTTCTTTTATTAAACCGTGATTATTGAGACACTCTGTATAAGTCACTCGACTTGTTTACCGTCGACCCGATCCCCCGCGTCACCGCGCCACACCGTCACCGCGCCGCACCGTCTACGCCCTCTACCGGGGGGGCCTACGACGGTCGGAGCGCGCGACATCTAGCAGCGACGGGCGGAACCGGGGCAAAACAGGACGCTACACAAGCTGGGTGGGGGGCGGAGCGCACTCTGGTAGCCAGGGGGGACACTAGGTCGCCACGCGCGGGGGGCCCCCGCTGCGGGGGGGTTAGGAAATTGAGGTTATGTACGGTTTTTGTTGCTTATATCGGCACTGTAATCTACTAACATTATTTTAAATAGTACAAGAACAATAAACTGCCATTATTCCGAAGTTCCATCGACCTTGATATCTGCGTTCCATTTCTTTAATATCTTGGTGAGACCTTCGACGGCAGCAAGATTTTCGGGATAGTAGTGCAGATGTGAGTGTAAAAAGTTTAGATTTGTACTCATATTGCATCCCATTTCCCAAAATTTATCTAAAGTGTTTTCTACAATGTCTTTGTAATTTGGATATTTGCTGCTTCCTAGAAATACTTTTCTAACATCAGTAAATGAAACCCTTTTCCGATTCGATCATGGTATTCCCAACGTCTTGCTCTTCCATTATTTGAGGACCCACAAAAATTCCTTCCTTTAATACTGGATCATCTTTATTTAAAGCTTTAACTTACTGCTTTATCAGTCCTAATTGGTATTCCAGAGAATTTTTCGTGGATCAAGAAGTCTATCGTGAAAAATGTATTTTAATCCGGTAGTTAAGTTAACTCTTTTTGGTCTGTTCTTTTTCACTACATGTTACTGCCTGTTTCTAATGTCCCACTCATACAAAAAACACGCGCTCTTCGTAGCATTCTTTCTTTTGCACGGAATGAGCAACAGGTACAGAAGTAAGAACATTTCCGTTGTATAAAAGAACAGCTTTATGGCTTCTTCTGGAAGAAAAAGTCTCCAGATCTCAGAATTGTAGTCTGGATCAAGTTTCTTTATTAGATTAGGAATATATACAAAACAAATACTCTGTTCAAAATAGCCCGAAATATATGATATTAACGTCTTGTGCCAGTAAATTTTTATATCGAAGTTAGATGCTAAAATTTCGGAAAGTTCCCTAGGTAAACCTAAATCTCTCATTAAGTCATTAAGTTCTGATAGTGAATATCCATATATCATCAACATCTAATCTAAGGGTATCTTTATCTATTTCAGGTGCAGAAAAACTGGTGGTAATTTCTTCTAAATTGGTTGGATTCACAGGTATTAGGACATCTGGATTATGTGGCACTGGCCTAGTCAGCAAGGTGATTTGTTGGGTTTCTCCATATCATAGATCCAAAATGTAGGAATCGTCTGGTTCCATTATTCCAATTATTCCAACACATTTTTCCCATACCTTACAAACAATACGTAGGGTCCAAGGTATGTCTTGACAGGAGTCAAATTTTATGTCTACATTTCTTGAACACAAAAGAACCACAGCAAAACGTATCTGGAATATTTTTTGTCTTGTCTTGTCTTGGTATTTTGAAAAGAAATTTAACTGCACACTAACTCACTACAAGAAACGCACTTTCTTCAAGACATGCCGCCACTACCCGACGCATCCCAGAAACCATAGTTTACTTTCGGGCATTCCCCGCAAATGTTCTGTTAATAATGCCAGTAGCATAGCAATTTTTAGAATGTTATGTAATGTTCCTATTTTAAAACGATAAATATGACATCTAGTTAATTAAAAATGTTGCGTGGTAGAAATAAAAAAAAGCACATTGTTTTTCTGTTAGTTTTGGTGAAATCTTTATTAGCCTGTATAATTAGTTTAGCCGAACAAATACGATGCTATCAAAAAACCTAAACGTCTCGAATATGGTTCGGAATAGGAACAGGTAACCCTAATGCAGTTGGATAGAAAAAGAAGTTTTTCTCACTTCAAATGTAGAAGTACACGACAACAATAACGAAAACGTGAACTAAATGTTTTACCATATATGGGAATCAAATTTTCAGGAATTATAAAAATATGCATATCCAAATTTGATTGAGCCGCAGGAGCCACTTTTTTTCAAGGCCATGAAAAAATTCATACCGAATCTTGGCATACGGGGTGTTCGATTTGAAATAAGCAGCGGTTAAACCGGAAGTCACGGGACGTTCAAAATATTTTTAAAAAGAGTTACACTTACCTTAACCCTAAATTACATCTCGATAAACTTTTAATGAACGGGTCGGGTGAAAACAATCTCTCATCAACCAGTACGACAAAGAAAAAAAAAGGAAAATACCTTTGGCGTCGGTTCGGAAACTTTGCCTGACGGCTCGTAACTACAATAGGAACGTTAAAATCTCTCACAGAACGCAACGATGTTCCGACGACAAGGTTACAATGATTATTACCTGCTTTTTTACGATAATTAATATTTGCCACCGAATTTAGAGTGCTATGACAAAAAAAAAACGTTCTCGGTTACGAAGGAAAGAACGAGGCGAGACATTCGACCATCGTTTCGGCGGAAAAAAAAATGACCTACAATAATCGGCGAGGGCGGTGCGACGTGGAAGAAAAAAGAAACCGGTCGCCTGTCGATTGGACACGCTTTTGATTGGATGCAACCATTAAATAATAACGCGAATACTGTAATAACGCTGCTGTTTAGGCTTTAGGCTATATACTGGAGAGGTTAAAGAGAGTCGATATTACCTTATTCGCGGTATTAATTAATGGCTACACCCAATCAAAAACGATTCCAATCAGCTTAAATAGAAAAAAAAGCAGCTATGTATACGGTGGCTCGTTTATCTTGGTACATTACCTTATCTCAGAAATTATAAGGGATGGAGCGAAAAGTTAAATACAAAAGTTAATTGGGGAATTACAAACTTATAATTTATTTTAATTTTGTATATATAGGGTGTTTCATTTTTCGTGGGCGAGTCTCAATTTTCTTATTTTAAACATGGTATACTACTTCATTTTTGAATTCTATACAAAATTCTAGACATACTTTGTGTATGATGTCCAATACCTAAGTCTAAGCGTTTCTGACATTTTTAATTTTTTATGCGAAAACTGACGTTTGCAAGACTTAAATCTGACCATTTCTTCATTCGGAAGCATTTATTGTTTAACTCGAGTAAGGTTTGTTGTCGACGAAGGACTGGAATAACTGATTTCATAAGAAATTTCGATACATATTAATACAGGGTACGCGAAAAACAAGATTAAAAATGAAATTTAAAAAAATGACAAACTTTTTTTTTTAATGCAAACCACCCATTTTTACAATCTTGTCATATTTAACATTAAAAATTTTACATGAGGTTGTATATGCCCAATATTTTTACTTTTTGAAATATCTCCTTTTAAACATTTGTCTAGCACAAATAATATGCTGATGCCAAATAAGTTCAGTTAGTGTAAGGTGGCTATGATGGCGTTTGAACAAAACAAGTGCTCAAGTGCTGCCACAATGATTGACCATTTCATAGTTGACCATAATCTTGCCGATGCGCTTATGAAGATCCAAAGATTATGTATGCACTATAAGACCAAGAATAAGCGATAACATTGATGATTTTTTTGTTAATGAACTCTCAATAAAAAATTAATGGCTTACAAAGGAGAATAATTATTGTATCAGAAGTTCAGTATGTCCGGCCCTGTGAGCCAATACCAGCGGTATAAAGGGCTTTTAAATACATAATGGCATTTCTAACAGGTTCCGGTTAAATCTTCAGGGGTCTCTGTAAAATACAACAAAATATTAAGTCGCACTTCATTATTCAAAATATGACGACGTCTATTTTTTTGTTTCCTCAAAGTTCAATATAATTCAATAAAGTGTTTTAAATCCTGTGGAAGATCTTTTTTACAGGCGCCTCCTTAATGGAAATTTTTTAGTATAATCTCTAACAGCCCAGGGTCCCGCTTTTATTATACAATATGTAGCTTTCTAACATCTTTTCCTTGTGGTACACATAAAATGCAAGCAGCATTCTAGCACTTGTTTTGTGTAAACGCCGTCATAGCCACCTTAACACTAATTGAACTATATGGCATATTATTTGTGACAAATATTTAAAAGGAAATATTTCAAAAAAAATTAAAAAATTAGCCATATACAACTTTATACAAAATTGCCTTTATTTTTCATGCTAAATATGTCAAGATTATAAAAATGGGTAGTTTCCATTAAAAAAGAAGTTTTTTGGCATTTTTTTTAAATTTCGTTTTTAATCTTATGTTTGGCATAGCCTGTATAATTGTGTATCGAAACTTATTATGAAATCCGTTATTCGAGTCCTTTGTCTACAGCAAAACTTACTCCAGTGAAACAATAAATCCTTCTGAATGAGGAAATTGGCAGATATTTTAAGTCTTCCAAACGTCATTTGTCGCATAAAAAATTTAAAATGTCAGAAACGGATAGACTTAGGTACAGGACATTATACACACAAAATATGTTTCGAATTTTGTATAGAATATGAAACACCCCGTATATACAACATTAAAATAAATTAAAGGTTTGTAATACCCCAATTAACTTTTGGATTTAACTTTTGCCTCCATTCGCTATAGTTTCTGAGATAAGGTAGCGTCTCAAGATAAACATGCCGAAGAATAATATAGCCTTGCTTTATTTTTAATCGATACCCTTCCGTAGATACAGGATGAATCATTTTTGGAAAACCACACTACTATCCTTATTATAGGAGCTGAAATGTTCAAATTTTCAGGATATGAGTACAAAGATACAGCGGTGCTAAAAATGGTGTTAAAAAAATTTAGGCCTAGTACGTTGCGTACGACCAAAGTCAGCTTTCGTTCTCCTTAAAAGTCCTTTGCTGGACTCTTTAATACTATTTTGGGCATCAAGTGAGGTGGGGATTTAACGTTTGGTTTGGTAATTTGGGTACGGATAAAATTGGCCATATGTTTTCAAAAACTTTAATTCTGAGAGATATTTAAACCTTGTCCAAACAATCGTAACAAGATCTTACGAAACTTCCACCAGAGGCTCTGCAACAAAGGTTTTCCCAACAAGACGATGCACCGTCACACAATCCATAGATTATTACGAACTTTTTAAATACAAAATTTTGAAACAGGTGGATAGGCTATCTGGGACCAGTCAGATGACCTGCGATCTTCCCTTGATTTCTTTGGGGTCACCTCAAAAATCAAATATACAGAGAAACTGGCACAGAACCTATTAACAATATCACTCCGCAAATGTGAAGACAGTCCTGTGTAGCAGTGTTGAGACGATGTACGAGGCGTGTTTAACAAGTAAGGTAACGTTTAAGTTTTATCAAAAACTATTAATTTATTCATCAAAATGTTGTCCCCTTCAAAGTAATCCCCCCAGATATAATACACATATGTCAATGTTTCTTCGAATTCTCTTCCAGCAGTTTTCTCCTCAATTGTTCCAAACCTCCTTCCTTTCATGGGTTTCTTGAGTTTTGGGGACAGAAAAAAGTCGCAAGGGACCATATCCGGTGAATAAGTGGCTGAGGCATGAGTCTGGTTTTGTTTTTAGCCAAAAAGTTAGACACAAGCAACTATGAGTGAGCAGGTGTTTTCCCACTATTCCGGACGTTTTCTTCCTGTTGCTTCTCGCAAACGACGCATAACCTCAAGATAATACTCTTTATCGACCTTACGACATTGAGGTAACAACTCTTGATGTACTACGCCACGATAATCAAAATAAACAGTTTGCAAAACCTTGACATTTAATCGAACTTGATTTGCTTTTTTCGGTCTTGGCGATTCTCTTTTCTTCCATTGGCTTTGGTTTTTGACGTCATAACCTTATAGCCATGATTAGTCACCAGTTATGACCTTTTTGAGCACATCAGGATCATCATTGACCTCTTTAACAATTCTTGAGAGATACTCCTTCGGCGGTCCTTTTGTTTAAAATTAAGCAGTCTAGGAAAAAAATGCACGGCACGAGCCAATAAAGATGCCAACGTCTTCAGTCCCTTCTCTAATAGTGATTCGCCAATTTGTCCACGCCATTTGTGTCACTTCTTCAGAGCGAGGTTCGTCATCGACGTATGCTCGGCTATATTGGAACAGCTTGTACCACTTCCAAATATTTTTTTTTGCTCGAAGTAAATTCACCATATGCCGTTGTCAATATTTCAAGTGTTTTGCAGCACTGTATTCCATTTTTTAGACAAATGTGCATACTGACTGAAACTATGAACATATGTTAGGGACATAAGTACCAACAAAATAAAAAATATATCGTAAATCAAATGTACCTAGCTCGCTTAATTACAAAAATCACCTTACTTTTTGAACACACCTCGTAGATTATTTGAACACTAACTCTAATTTCATTGTAAATTCAATTTTACTAACGTCTTTTCTCGGTCCTCTCTTTTCAATTTGATTGTCTCCTTTCTTTTCCGCTCATTATTTAAATGTGTTTTAAAATTTATCTTGACCAAACATAAATCACACATGGATGAAACGCATTTTCTTTTTTCGCCCTGTACCTACGTAAGTGTATCGATTTAAAATAAAACAAAGCTAGATTATTTTTTGGCATATACATACACTTCTTTTCTTCCATTTAAGCGACGCGGCATCTCTTACAATTTTAAATATCCCATGTACATCATATTATACCCTTATTCCGACCAAAATGCAAGATTTTCAAAAAGTTCTACGCCTGGGATATGCTGAGTCCCATTACGGTTACTATTTAATATTATCTTCGTACTATACAGGTTGCCCCAAAAGTGTTAAA